CCATTAGACTTACTGATTGATCGAGCTTTTGCAGCATGAATGAGTATTCTTCCATTTATTGACCACAGTAGATTCTTGACAATCCTAATTATAACGAAACCTGTGAATCGCTGAGGTCCATGTGTTAGGTATGCCTACCCTTAGCAATGTAACTTCTACCACAAAATGTATTTTGCAGTGGCTAATATTGCTGTTATTATAATTTGATAGCCTCTTAGTGCTGATAATTTCTATTTTTGTGCAAAATCAAAAATACCGGCATGCTACCGGCAAGACATGCCAGATACCACGAAAAAACCTGCGGTAGTGAAAATTTACCGGCATGCCGGTAGTGCGGTAGGGAAACTTTGCAACTCTAATTCAGATCGGGTGGCCTTTTGTGGTGGCCTTTTTGTGGTGAATATCTGCACCAGTTAGTGCACTCTGCAAGAACGACTGGCACCCGACCCGACCCGAGGGAACATCTGTGTGACAAATGGTCACTGATGATTCAGGACACGGAACGGAATGATACCGTTTTCGTTTTTCACCCGAGAGAGGTGGTCTTAGTCTCTAAATGGACCCAAACTGGGTGATGCTGTCTCCGATAGTGTCAGAAATCGAACAGGATCGGTCCTGAGCTTCCTTGATAATGCATGAAGTGGTCGCTCCGACTCCAACACAGACCCGAATCGAACCTTTTTAACGTAAGTCCCAACACAACCGAACACCGGACTATGCGTTATTGCGTTACCCTCTCTTAGACGGGCTCTTTTTCTACGTCATCGCCTCCTGCCGTGGCCATACAACTGCTCGCCGGGGGCAAGTACCTACGGTCCCGCCTGACGGTCTGCCCCGAAACCGACAGCCGCAGCCCAGTGACCGAGCTCTGGGCTGCTGGTGTCACGGACTAAGCTTCATTCTCTGGAGCTTTGCTATGTGCCAAATACCTTTCTTCGTTCTACCTTTCTTCGTTCGTTGTCGTTATTCTTCGTTGTGACAGTAATGGGTAACGAATACAACGAGAATCGTTTCCACTGGAGTGTGATGCGATTGTTTCGCTGAAGCTGAGTTCCACTGTGAGCGCTGCTGTCGAACGGCGAAAGCATTTGGCCACGATCCACTCAGTGATTGGCGACTCGCACTGTTGTCTTAGGGGATCGTTTTGTCACTTCTCATTCCATCAGTCGTATGCCGTATTCCATCTACATGATGCGCCAGGATGTCCTACTGTTTGTGTGTATATGAGATGGCGACATTTCCTGTAAGTACGAGCACAGGCTTCTCTCTATATAGGGGAAGCCGGGGGAAGCCCGGGCGCGGGGGAAGCCCGGCCACCCCGTTTCCGGCTAAATTATTCACAATAAAATGCTCAACTGTTTGTCCTTTCAGCGTGGCAGCTAAGGTAACGCGAGCAAAAAAGTTAAGGCCGACAAAAAATGCATATTGTTAAAGTTATAGCGCAAAAATGATATTTTAAGGGTTTTTAGCTAAAAAGTGAGATGTGTTGCACTGTTAATGTTATACCATACAGTACTAATATTTATACGAATGTTATGTAAGGACCGTTTAAGTGTTTGTAGTGAGGGGTGACGAGGCAGGCTGGCTTAAGTATGACATTTTTTCGAATATCGCTGTTCTAAAATAAAAATTAGCACATTGGGGTAACCCCGGGCGAGTGGCCAAGCTTACCCCCAACCGAGAGCATGGCCACTAAACCACTGTTTTCCATGAGATAATAGGTACTGAGCATGTTTGGTTTACACTTAGATCAAAGATAAATTTCGAAAATAAACATGTTATCATAGACAAAGCCAGTCATGTCACTTAAGGTCAACTAGGGTCAAACTACGTTTTTGCAGATAACGCGACAGACAATGAAGCTAGAGCTTCAAAAATGGTGTCGTTGTGTTCTTCTTCATCAGCCGAGTCGAATGATATGCAATATGATGCATTAAGGTAAAAAGAAAAATAAATTTTAAGGAATTTTGAAATACACATTTTTTGTCAATTTTGCATCACGATTTTCATCGACCTGTACTGTATATGTAGTAGACGCTAGCTTAAATACCAGTAGTGACATAAACTCTAAGATGTCCAGAGCTAATTAGTACCTTAATATTTCACTTTCCGTTAATATTTGGAAAACACATAATGGTTTCATCAACTCGTTGTAAAGCGCTGGGGAGGTGGCCGGCGTTACCCCTATGCCGGGCTTACCCCAGAAAAATCAACACTTTTTTGAAACTCGATTTTCTCAACCTTATACTTATTCCACGAAACCGAATTTTTGGGAAAACACGGCCAATGAACTTAGCTAGCTAGCAGGATGTCAACATTTTATACAGCACGTATGGTATGTAATAAAAATCAAAAAGAGCTTACTATGCCGGGCTTCCCCCGGCTTCCCCTAGAGAAGTCTGTGGTACGAGTTATCAGATACGCCGTTTCGCCGTACTCTGCTAGTGTCAGTCAAACTACGGGAACAACAGTTGCGCTTTTCTGCTCATGACTTCATTGAGTTCGATTCATGAAACACTATCGTGCCACCGTTTCTCGCGGGCGGGGCAGCCGCGTGGGCTCCCTTCCTCATGCGCCCACGCGTGCTCGAAGGGTGTGCAGGGGCGGGCTATATCAAGCTGTGGGGAGAACCGGCAGTTCAGGGGACGGCCAGGACCCATTGAATCGGGGAACAGTAGCGGTCGTCGACAGGGACCAATTATCTCATTGTGCTCATTAACTGGGTCGGGCCTTCCCCCTTCGTCTCCCCAAAACCGTCACCCAACCCCCATGGTACCCCATGGCGAGGCTCAGCTCCTGTGAATTGAGCTCATTCTCAGCAGCCGTTTTATGATCACAGTTCACATTATCTGCCAGTCTGTCAATTGTACACGCTTTACCTCCCCCTCCGGCTGGCATGGGTGTCTGGAATGTTGCGTCGCACACTCACGTCCCCTCGTGAACCCACCCTCACTTTATTGTTCAAGGGTATGGTCAGGGGTGCCCCTCGTCCAGTGGTGGGGAAGCATGGGTTCGTTGGTGCAGTAACTTGCAGTTGTTCACTGCGCTTAGCTCTTCTCTGGGATCGTGTCAGCCAGTGTGACCTTTTCAGAGAGGGGTGGAGATAGGGTTGTACGGTCCGCTAATACGGAGGAGCTCGGTCATCTCGGGATGTTCCAGGAATGATGAGGCCCTCCGTTGCCTCTGCCAATTCTCAGTCAAGTCATGTCGCATTGGTGCAGGGTATTGCGTAACTGGCTTCGATCTCTTTCGGTGGAGTTTACCGTGGGACTTCGAAATGGTAAACTGACTAGAAATGTCCATCTTTTCTGTGTTCTTGACAGCTTTGGATGGAGTGAAGATAATGAGTGGACAGTCCCTCAAATGATAGGTAGAAGGGGTATGCGCTGAGCCGAGATGAGTGGAACAGTTGGACATAAGTGACATAATGAGCGTAGAACGTGTAGAAGATTTGTGAACACGAGAGAGAAAGAGCAGAGCGCGAGCGCATGCATCTCGAGTTCCTCTCGTACCCCGAACGGTATCGTCGGCCCGCCTATGTTCGTCCTCTAAACGGTGTTCGTCCTCCCCGCTCCTCCGGAACCAGTCGCATTCCACTGTCCAGCCGAGCCGAGATGATAGCTCGGGGAACCGCCTCCGCCGCCGGCCGGCACGCATTTCGGCCGAATGGCCTGGTGACGTCACCAGACGTCCCGTCACGTGGGCAGGCTGGGGGGGGGGGGGCGTCACTGGACGGCGCGATGTTACGGCTTGGTACTGAACTGAGAGCACGAGGTGGACTGGCAGGAGATAATGAGAGGGGGGGGGGGACGAATAGTGTAAGGACCAGTGAAAGTGGAATTTTAGCCACGTGGTCGCCGGTCCAGCTACAGCTGGACGTGATACTACAACGTGATCTCAATGGTTCTCAAGACTCTGGTGGGGCATGTTTCGGACGTGGATAAAATTCAGGCAAACGTGGATCGGTTATGCTTCAGATTTGGACGTGACTCGAGTAAGACTTGAGTCGGGTGTGCTTAATTAAGGCTCGGGTGAAGCTCAAACTTGGATCAGTCAGCCGTATACCCAGACCAGCCAACATATGTTGACTGTTGACCGTCGCGGGAGACTCCGTTTATGGGTCACCACAGACGGTCCGCCGTAGTGCAGACCGCTGTCTGCGAGTTTAGAAGCCACCGGCCGCTATTGCCAGCTGTTCCTGCGGACAGTGCTTTTCGGCTATGTCCGGACGGACCGTTCCGCGTCGTCCACAAGTATAAACAATAAACAGAATGGCAAGCGCGACCCGGGCGAGTGCGAGCCTGGCGTCTTGCGCCGTTTGCCGGGCTGTGGGCGTGTGTTCCGTTACTGCCTCTCGACGGCTGACCTCTGCGTCCCGTCCTGTCCCGCGCGCACCGCTGTTTTTCCGACAGTGCTCTGTGCCGATGTCCTTCCTGCAGGGGTGTCGCAACGCGCGTCTCTGGCGTAAGTGGAGCTTCCCGGCTCTGTGGCTGCGCCCGGCCCACGCTGTGGACGATGCTGCAGGGATGGAATAGGCAGGCTGACCAGGAGACCGTTGCAATGCTGATACACCGACCCCGAGCAGATGTCTATAAGAGCTCAGTTCAACTATCTGGTTCTGCTGAGTTCGTATGCAGGCGGCGTATGGTAGGACATCTTGTAACAGCATCCCTAAACAAGCGTCAGGCCGCGTACGAACAACTTTACTGTTGCAAGTTGACAAGTTTGGTTTAAACAAGTCTGCAATCTCTCTGGCTTTGCACAAATAGCGGGGAAAAATTACAATGTGTTGCCCTGGTGACGTAGGATGAAATAACCCAGTGCACTGCCTGCTACACAATCTCATTCAGAATCCTGCTATGTCTGTCAGCCTGTGCCGCACGCCCGAATCCGCCACTGTTCGTTTCACATTGCGTGTTCCCTTGATCTCACCGCTTTCAATAACCGTCAGTAGTATGATGTTTTGTCGTGTTCTGACGCCTGTTTATTTCCGTTTGCAGTACGTGTTCACGGACACCATCAACGAGGTGATATTCGTGACTGACGACATTGCCAAGGGCCTGACGCGACACCGAGTCGACTTCGTGCCGTCCAAGATCTCGTTCGACCCCCGTCGGCGCACCGTTCTGCTCGGCTATGACAGCAATATACAGTCGGTAAGTTTTGTTAGTGATCGGTAAGACGGGTTGGGACGAGCTTTGCAATACGTGTGGGCGACTAAAGGCCGATGTTTGCTTCGTGCCGACAAAAGCAACGCGTGATTTTTGTCGGGACATTGACCTTTTTTGTAATTACGTAACTGAATCGGTAATGTGCTTTGGCTCGACTTGATGGCTTCTAGTTTTGCGGTCATTGGTACTTATGTTGAACACATTTCGTAAGTGTTTTACTGATAGTGAGTTTGTGGTTCTGTCTCGTGTTTGTGCGAGTTTCTCGGTGTTGCGAGCGAATGTTATGGCGTGACTCTCCGCGCCGGTTTGCTCACTGCCGTTTCCGGGGTGGTCGCCGGTCCCAAAAATGATCGCGGCTCACTGCGGGTTTCGGGGCGCCCATCGCGCCGGTCTCCTGGGCCGCCGTCCGGACGACAGACCAGTTTATTCAGTGTCGTGACGCTTTAGGTGCCCATCGGTCGGCCCGAACCGGCCGGACGGCGCTGTCGGAATTAGATCACGGCTCGTCTGCGTGTGACTGGAGTCTCGTACAGACCAGAGGTGCCAGCGCTGTGATGGTCTGTCTCTTTGTGGTGTCATGGGCCCTTGAGCTGCGCGGGTATGTCGCGTCACGACTGGAACCGCTAGCACCCCTATCACAACACTGGGTCATGGATGTGACCTTCAGTCTCCATAACAAAAACGTCGCATGTTTTGCCGCGTGCCTGTGAATCGAAACAGCGCACTGAGGCTACGGGGCAGCCGAACTTGACCGATAGCGGTGCGTGGGTTCGCTTCTGTCGTTTACAGCTGCTCGTTGGACGCGGATAACCTATCTCGGCCAGCGGCGGCGAGGCCCGACCGATAACGCAGCGGCGGGTTGCGCGGGTTTTGCCCCGCCACCGTCAGCTGACCGAGCGGCCGGTCTTTGTGCCACAGTTGGCGGCCGGGCGGCTGCGACAGAGCCCCCTCCCCCTGCCCCCTCCCGTGACAGCCCGCGGGTCTTTGTCGCGCCAGTTCGTGACGGTGAAGGCCGCCGCCGCGGCGCGACGCGCCCGAACCGGTCACGGAATGGACGGGGACGGCAGGCTATGATTTTACTGCGGTCTGCAATACTAGGACACTGTCAACAAACGCGGTCGGGTGAGCCACGGCGCTGGTCGGACGACACCGGTGCACCCAGTGGTGTCGCTAACTGTCAGCGGCAACTACCGCCGATCCTATGTGGAACCCCGTCGAGTCCCATTCTGGCCTACTGCGTAGATGAACCGCGTTCGCCGTGGACATTTTTGTCACGATTGTTGGCGCTCGTCCTGACCGACTGCGCAAATAAGCATCGCTGTGATGTGGGATAAAACCCAGCTAGCTACTTCTGCTGTTCGTCTGTTCTGTTGTTCAACGGGGCTGTCGCCTGTTCATTGAGCGGAAGGTGTTAGAGGTTACAACAGTCAATTGGTGCTTACCACTTGTCACTGGACAGTGGACAGCACTGCTACCGGCCGACTGACCAGGAAAAGCGGACCACTGAGACCGTCCGTCACCCCTGCAAGAGGGGGTGGGCTGACCGGCGGGGAGGGGCTGGGTGGCCGGTGCGGGGGGTGACCGGTGTGTGAGGAGTCGCGTCGTCCACCGTCGCTGCGCCGCCGCCGACGAGCGGCCGAGGGGAGGGTGAATGGGTGGAGCGACAGATCGATCGCCACTAATTCGTACCGCGGCGCAGTACCTGACCTACTATTGTGCAGTGGCCGCACGGTCTACAGGGACAAAGCCTGACTTGGTACCGCGACGCAGCATACGGCGCAGTACCCAACCTACTAACAGGTGCACCGGCCGCACGGTCTATGGGGACAAAGACAGGGGTCCTTACTTGTACCGCGGCGCAGTACCTAACCTACTAGCTGGTGTACGGGCCACACAGTCTACAGGGACGGCCCGTGACTCGTGCCGCGACGCAGTACCTAACGCCCTTCTTACAGGTGCACTGGCCGCACAATCCACGAAGACTGCGTCGGGCTAACACTGTCAGACTGCAGACGACTGCAGGCTGCACCGTAGACTTGACCTTAGAATACCGCTACCGACTGTTGACTGCAGGCTCACCACTGTTGCTAGCTGTCTGGAGTACGTACAATAAACGGATTGATTCCGCTGACACTGATTGACACCGTGCTCCCCGCCCGATTGCTGATCGCTTACTGCCGTTTGGCTGTCAATCTGACCCAGCTCTGTCGATGGAGTCAGATTGATACTGATTGGGCTAAATGAGTCTGTCCATTTTGAGTGATGTCGCCTACCACGGCAGTCCACGGCTAGAGCATGTTGAGCACTTTCTGGCTGCTTTCTGATAGGGTATCGTATTTCCAATGAATGATAAGGTATCTTTATTCTGCTCAATTACCTGATAGGTTTACGATTTTTTAGCGATCACTACGGCTGTAAATTTAGGACATTCGTGTGGCACTTTGACATTTATCACACCTAGCAGTGAGACCCTGAGTGAGTAATTCGCTATGAAATGCGTATGTTGCCCGTTTGGTGGAGGCTCGCCACTCGCCAGCGCTTGTCATGCCATTGAATGACTTCCGCTCTCGTATGGTTTTGCAGCCAGCCCGCTATCAATGTTAGCTGGGAAGGGGGCGGGTTTTCCGAATGTGTCACTGTACTGTGGTTCTCACCCCACCGCAGTATCATGACCGTGGCGCAATGCGTACACTGTACAACCCAGCCTTCCTCTTTCCCTTCACCCAACCAATACAGTCCGTCATCCCACCCATCAGTAACACCCCGCCACCTGACCTCACCCCCTACCCTCAGCTATGGGCCAGCGACACGTTCGGCGCCTCGTGGCACGTGGTGGAGCAGTACGTGGCGTCGTACACGTGGGACGCGGCCGCCGACCCGGCCGTGCTGTACGTGCACCGGAGGCAGCCGGAACGGCCGGGCGTGGTCCGCTCGTCCACCGGTCTCTTCCTCAACTACACCACAGTGGCAGAGGATGTGGAAAAGTTCACCATCAAAGAGGACTTCCGGTTCGCCGTCCGCCGGGTGGTGAGTGCTGAAGGGGAGAGAGGGGGTGAAGGGACATGCTGAAGGGAAGAGAGAGGTGGTGAAGGGATATGCTGAAGGGGAGAGATAGAGGGGGTGAAGGGAGATGCTGAAGGGACAGAGAGAGAGAGGAAGAAGTAACACTAGGTCACCATGGGACGGGACGGGGAGATGGCTGATTTTTGGGGAGGTAGGTAGACAGTGAGATGGCATACACGCGGGATGCGCGTATTGCGTAATCGACAGCTATTCTGTGTCATTCTTCGATGTCTTGACTCATAGAGCGCGGTCCGGGCGCGGCGGTCCGCTTTAGTGCGCTGTAGTACCACGCTGTCTGTCATTGTTGACTTTTGGCTCGGTGGAGGCGAGCTGACACACCCAGTGGAGTGCAGCCCCCTCTACGACGTTAGGGTTCCGGTCACGTGACGAACTGTTGGTTCGTCTGCGTGGGCTAGATGATCATAGCTAGATGCTCATTAGATTACTAGATGTTCGTAAAGGTGCCGATTAAATTTATCGTCGCTCAGCAAATGTATGTTTTTTATGCTTGCTCGAGTAAACTGGTGAGCTTCAACGGTTAGATGACTCAACTCAAATGTTTGTGAGGGATGAAATTCACTTAGGAGACCGAGGGACGTTTGACTATCTCCCATGCCTCGTCGTCCACGCTGTCGCTCTCTGCGTTCCTGCGGTAACTCCTCCTTCTCTTGCAGAGACTGCTGGGCTCGCACCAGTCGGACGGCACGCTACAGCTATGGGTTAGCCACCGCGGGGATCCGTTCACAAACGCCCAGTTCCCGGCCGGTCTGCGCGCTATCGACTACGAAGTGGTGGACGTTAGTGATGATCAGGTGAGCGCATCATCGCCGGAGGTGATGGGTGGTGCTGGTGGGGAAGGCATGGCACTCGGCAGCTACTCTGCTGAATGAGCGGAACAGGACATTTTGGACGGCGTTATCAGATTACGTTCGAAGTTACGTTCAAAAAGTACGTTCAGCGCTATCAGAACGGCTCTCTTACTGCAGAGGTGGGTTTCACTGTTGCGGCAGACCTATCCCAACGACCACCTTCGACTATCTTAGGCTAAACATTGTGGTAGCTCTACCCCCAAGATGGTTAGATTACCTACCGTCATTGACAGCTCTTCCTCAATGACCACTACCACCAACAACTGCAGTGATTGTATCGTAGTAGCGTCCTAGCCCCTATGTACTGACTACCGTCATCTACCGTCAGGTAATGGTGGCCGTCATCCACAACGCCACCTCGTCCAGCTTGTACGTGTCGGCCGTGCCGGACAAGCGCGGCGTGCGCTTCTCACTCTCACTGGAGAACGTTCTCACGCACAGCACCGGAAAGACGTTCGCCGGATCGTGGCTCAGGTGAGAAACTGGTGGACGCTGATGGGAGCTGGGCTTTTGGGTTCGAATCGGTATTATTGCAGTGGTATCATGTGTAGCTTATGTCTTGCAAGATGCTTTGTTCTTGTGCCTGTAAAACCTCATTATCATATTATTTGTATTCCAATACTTTTTATATCTTTTCTACTAATTATATCGCTATTTTCTTTCGCCTTTTTGCTGTATAAGGCTCGTCAGTAGCCCTAGCCTTACCTGATCGAACTAATACACCCGTCGGTTTGATGTATCGATGCCGCAAATTGGTTTCGTGCCCGGTGGTGTTTTTCGACACGCGAGCTGCGGCAGCCGTCGACATATGTTGTAACACCTGATTGCGCTCACAGCGTGAGTCACAGTGCAGAAGCGGCGTACAGTCACCTACCGCGGGTACCTAACGGTCGCTGACGCGGCTTGGTACTGGGGCGCTGTGGTCTGTTTTTACCGGGCTCGGCTGTAGCTGCAGCCATTCACTCGCCTCGGGTGCATGTTTTGTTCACGATTTGCAACTGCGTACAGCAGCGAATATTCGTCACGTGTTTCGTCACGTGTCACGTGTCACGTGTTTTTCGTGAATCATCCTCACGAATTCTAAGCGAATCCTTGTTTTGAGACGAATAACAGCTTTTTCTAGGACATGCTTCACTTGTCCACCCGCCCTTTGGCGCACCCTAATTTGCAGACAGACCGCGGGCATGCCTACTCAAGGCTACTTTACTAATACCTAACTGACAAGGATACATACTGACGTGCCTACTGATGGAAAAACATATGGAGTGTTTGTTGCGCCGATCTGTCATACCTGCTCTAGCCATGCTACGGATCGACTGTCCCCACATATTCTCCCTTGACCATTTGCCCTTCTCTCTCCCGTCTCCCTGACCAGCTCCCTGTCTCCCCGGCAGTGTGGTGGGCGGCGACTTTGTGGACGTCCACCGTGTGAGCGGCCTGCGTGGCATCTACCTGGCGTCGCGGCTGCCTCCCGACTATGACGGCCAGCAGGCCAGCCGGCTGGGTCCCGAGCACGTACTGACGCTCATCACGTTCGATAAGGGCGGCCGCTGGCAGCCGGTGTCCCCGCCGACAGTTGATGCCACTGGTGTGCCGATACACTGCGAGAAGGTGGGTAACGAGTCGACACACGTCATACCTACTGTAGGACGTGCCTATCCACTGCGAAGAGTAGGTGACGGTATAAAAACATCCGCGTCGGCACGAATTTGTCGCGTCGGCGCAATCCATGCTGTGTTTGCTTCAGGGTGGTACGGTAGAGTTATGCATTCATGAACGTACTTAGTGCCAAAGTCTATACTATCTGTGTTTGGCTATTTCAATTTTCTTACCGCATACTTGTCTTGAACTGTTTCTCGAATCTCGGCCGTTGCTGATTGTTTTGTCTTTTGACTTCCATTTCCTACTTTCTGACGCCCGTTATCGCCGTCTCTTCCCCTCCGCAGGCGGAGAACTGTTCGCTGCACATCTCCCAGGAGATGACCAACCTGTACCCGGGCACCAAGTACATTCCGGTGCTGTCGTCTTCGTCGGCCGTCGGGCTGGTGATGGCCACCGGCGTCATCGGCGACTCGCTCAAAGGCCACCCGTCGATCGTGCTCAGCCGCGACGCCGGCGCTACGTGGCGGCAGGTGAGGATAGGGACGGGAGGTGATAGGAGCGGACGGGTCGGCTAGGTGCGGGAAAAGAAGGAGAAGAGTCAGGAAAGGGGAAGGGTTTATAGACAGCTCAGGCTGTGTGCATGACACGAGATGGTTGAGCTCGGCATGGGAGCTGGAAAGGAACACAATGTGTGGATGTGATACTCGTTGCAGAAGTCCGATCGAAGGAAATCTACCTTGCTTGGTTTTTTAGTTTCTACTGCTGGAGTAAACCACTTTTTGACATCCTGACGGTTTCATACACTGACGGTGATGGTATCGGATGTTTCTACAAAGTGCAGTCGGGAGTTTCTTCCTGACCTCTGTTCTGCCTCTATCTGCCCCTTCCTTCCGCCGCAGGTTCTGCGCGGTCGGTTCCTGTACACGTTCAGCGGGTATCTCTCTAACCTTTGCTCCTCCTTCCCCTACCTCAGGTGCTACGCGGCCAGTTTCTGTACGCGTTCGGTGACCACGGCGGCCTGATCGTGGCCGTGCGGCGCTACAGCGAAGGAGGCACACGCGAACTGCTCTACTCGCTCGACGAAGGCATGACGTGGGGCCGCCACCTGTTCTTCACGGACGAGGTGAAGGTGTACAGTCTGCTGACGGAGTCGGGTGGCTCCGGCACCGTGTTCCTCATCTTCTGCGCGCGCATGGACCGCAGCGGCTGGATCTCGGTCCGCGTCGACCTGAGGTCCCAGTTCAGTGAGTGGCGCAAAGTGGACTCGTCCGAGTTGGTCTGGGCAACAGGGTTTGGAACGTGTTATGTTTTATACTTACCCAGCTTTGAATGTGTAGATTTTTTAAAGCTTTTATTAAGCGTTTATTAATGACGTGCGTCGAATGGAAACCATTAACACCAGCTTACCATTATGTCCTCTGCAGGCCATTAATTACCCAGCCGCCCTAACAAAGCTGCAGCCTCGCCCTGCCTCCCTGTAAATGCTGCCTACCTCTTTCACATTTCCTGACCTAGCGTGTGTCCTGCGCAGGACACAACTGCACGCAGGACGACTACAAGCTGTGGACACCGCGCGGCCGCTCGTCGGGCCGCGGCTGTCTGCTGGGTCGAAAGGAGACGTACCGACGCCGACTGCCGCACCAGCGCTGTTACATCGGGGAGGGCGGCCGCGAGCCACTGGTCTCTGTGGAAAACTGCGCCTGCCTGAGAGACGACTACGAGTGGTGAGTTAGCTACGGGAGGGTTCAAAGGGGTGTGGTTGTGTATTACGTGTCAGGGTCACTACTTGTGTTTAGGTCTGTGAGAAGGGGATAACTAGGACTGTGGTGAGCGCTTATTGGAGTGATCACAGGTGCGGCTTCGAAGGGTCAGCTCCGTGGGAAGAATCACGGATCACGAGGTGTCCCGGCCGCCACCGGGCCGGGACGGGATCGAGCTGATAGGTGTGATTTTTAGGCCTGTCGATGTGGCTGCTGAGGCTGGCAGTGTTTGGTCTGTGGTTTAGGCGATAACACGCTGGTTGATAGTTGCTACGAAATGAGTTCGATACGATGTTATCACTTGTTTTCGGATAAGGAAGTCAACAGCCATGACGTGAGCTGTTTGTGGTCAAAACAGACGAGCTTGGGCACATTGTCTCAGGTGGTAGTATTTTTTGTTCCGGATTGTTGTGTCTATACGATTCTCGATTTGTATTCTTGTAGACCTGCTCTGGCGATGTTTAACTTGATTTTCTACCTTGCTGACTGGCTGTGATCGGGGTTTCTCTGACAGTCCTGGCTCACCTCCCTCCCCTCTCGGCAGCGACTTTGGATACAAGGAGTCAGCCGTGGGCGCTACAGGTCGGACGGCCACCTGCGTCCGAGACCCAGAGGTGGCCCGACTTCCGCCCGCCTTCGACCCCACCCAGTGTCCCGAGGGCTCCTACTACAACGTGTCGCGGGGCTTCGTGCGCGTGCCTGGCGACACGTGCCAGCCGGGACCCGTGGCGGCTGTGCTGTTTGAGCCCGACCCGCGGCCCTGCCCGGTCAGGTGAGGGAAGGGAGACGGCTAGCCGGCACTCGGCGTTGACGGGTAATGGTGTCGGCTGGCTTGTCTGTTGTCTGTTTTCTGTTGATAGTTAGCCGCTGAGCTATTATATTAGGGCTCCGCCGCATACTACGGCCTTTTTTTAGTTTGACAGCTGGTGTTTCTCTAAGCTGCCATGCAGTGTCTTGACTTATGGACGTTGATGATGAGCCTTTTCATCGACATTGCAGTGAGGTATGATCAGATGATATGGTCTAACCTTTTCTGCACATTTAACCCTCGCATGTGTAGGGGGGGGGGTCGGATGGACCCCCCCCCATGGTTTTTCGCGAATAACTCGCGTAAAAAGCGGCCGATCGCGACGAAACTTTCAGTACCCTCGCATTGATCAATTTTACACCTACCCTGAAAATTTCATGACCCTGACCCAAATGACCTTTGACCTGTGACCTCTTTTCCGAGACCATGTTTGGCCGGAATCGCGATTTCGCGTATGTCGGCTCGCACTAGCCGCGTGTTTGCAAGCTTTTCGTGGTTTCAAACGTTCAAACATGTGATTTGATGTTACTCCCGTGTGTGTGTCAAGGTCACCTGAAGGTCAGGTCAGGTCATTGACCTTTGATGACCTCGGGTGACCTCGGGTCACTTTTTCGAGTTTTACATGTTTCTAGGCTAGTTTTTTTTAGCTGAATTCGAATTTAGCAACCATTTGAACATTTACGAAGTAGTTTTGGTGACTTCGTAACATGTTACGAAGCTGTCAGAGGCGGTTGACACGTACTACGAATACCCGTCACGACGCCTACTGGTTGACCTGACCTGACCTGACCCGACCTGGTCTAAATGCTTCAAGACATCATCTGTGATCAAAACTAACACGATATTCGTGATCAGCACCCCGAAAAACCCCTTAGCAGCCACACTTTACGACTTTCTAACAGGTCCCGATTTTCCCGACTTTGGGTCATTGACCTGACCTGGAAGGTCAACCAATGACCTAGGACCTTAAAATTGGGTATCATCGGCTTCCTCTCGTCACGGGCAACACGCTCGTTTTTTCCGCGAAGCTCTAGCTCGATCAGGGGCCAAACGGCAAGGGGGGGGGGTCCAACCGACCCCCCCCCTACACATTAGAAGCTGGCAAACGCCGCACACATGCGAGGGTTAACATATCCACTTACGCAGCCGTGTCTGCCTTTCTGTGGTAGCTTCAAAGACTAGACTGTTCAAAGATTGTTCACTGTCAGTAGTCAGTACAGACAGAACCATCAAGCGGCAGCTCGACATCTCCGTAATTGCCAATTTCTGTTTTCCGGACCATTTCTTCCTTATATGAGTTATATCATTATGATATCATTATGTCCCACTACCCTCTCTCGTCTCTCGTGTTCTCTTGCGCCTTCTCCGTCCCCTATGCCATCCTCTATGGTTACATGTCATTCCACTTCTCTCCGTCTCCCGGCCTTCCTCGCTCTCCCTCGTCCTCCCTCGCTCTCCCTTTCTAACTGCCACTGCTCTGTGTCCCCAGTGAGATCTCCGACTTTCTGCTGCTGGCTCGCCGAGATGCCATCCTCCGACTGCCCCTGAAGGATGTCGAGAGTGGCGTAGCGCCGACGCCCGCTCCCCTCACTGGTATCGCTAACGTGGTGGCTGTCGAGTACGACAAGCGGACGGGCTGCCTGTACTGGTCCGACACCGCCTTCAAACACGTCATGGTGGGTGTCCGGGTGTGGGACGGAAGGGACGGGTGGATTTTATGGAGGGATTGGAATCTGGAGTGACGCTGGGAGTGTGTTTGAGGGGGGGGGGGGCGGAGGTGCGAAAGGTTTGCTGGTGGTGCTGGCTTTTGATAGGGAGGCCTAGTTGATAACATTGATCTGATGAGGAGCCAGGGTTGAACGTGCTGCAAACGTATTGGTTTCAAATTGAAGTCAAGTCTCCTTGGCTGGGTCCGTGTTTAAACTGTCATTGTCACCTGGTTGGCGATGTTCGTTATGACGAGTCGGATCTACCGGTACTTTCATTGTGACCGCCCTTACCGTAGTGACATCTTTCCATCCGTTCGTCCGTTCGCCCCGATAACGGCCGTGACGTTATATCCCGTCTGTCCGGCCCCCAGCCCGTCTCCTGTGACATTTGACCTCCGTCCGCCCCTATAACTGCCATCACCGTTCCGTGCTTCTATCCTCAGGATACTGAAATCCTTCTCCTCCACGCCGCAACCGCCCTCCGGGCTGGACAGACAACGTTATCTCATGCGGGCTGCTCCCTTGGAGCGGCACCGCTGCTCCCCAGGGAGCGCACCCCGTAGCCGGGTGCAGTGAGTGCCTTGGGGCTGGGTGGCGTGTCCTCTGGACGGACTCAGCCCCGTTGACTCACTAGGGTGCCTGCCCAGACCATTGTCTCCCCCTATATCCTATCATCCTCCCGGCTCTGAAATGCCCATTGGACCGAAAGGGCCTAACCCAACAAAAATAAATAAATAAATAAATAAATAAATAAATAAATAAATAAATAAATAAATAAATAACCGTCATGAAATCTGAGCCCGTCTGTTCGCCCGCAGCGTCAGTGTATGGACGGCTCCGGTCAGGAAGTTGTCCTCAACCACAACGCGTCTACAGTGGAGTCCCTGGCGCTCGACTGGACCACGGGTAACCTGTATCTCACTGAGTCGGACACGGCGACCATTCAGCTGCTGCGTCCGGCCGTGCGGCACGCCGGTCACCTGCGCACCACACTGCTCGACAGGAGCGTGCTGGAGAACCCGCGCGGCCTGGCGCTCCATCCCACCAAGGGGTAAGTGGGCGTGGCACCTCGCCAAAGGACCACGGGGGAACAGGGACCTGACGCTCCGTCCCATCAAAGGATGGGTAGTAGTACGCCCCACCAAATGGTGAGACAGGATACACTACAACCATGGCGTTGTGTAGGGGCCTGCCGCTCTACTAACCGAAGGGCGAGTAGGTTAACTGTACGGCAGCAGGGGACGTAGGCGGGTCAGCTTCACCCCAGTGACGGGTGGTAAGATGCTTCGTTAGAGGTTCACTCCAGTAATTGTATCATGATATGCTTCTGAAGGTGACCCAGTCATAATTGTGGTCGAAGACTATTTTCTCATGTATTCAACTCGGCGCTTCTGTCCCTCTCCCCCAGGTACATGTTCTGGACGGACTGGTCACAGACGTCTCCGGGCATTTACCGCGCCTTCATGGACGGCACGGAGCCGAAACAGATCACGGGCCGCGGCCAGGTGGTGTGGCCGAACGGTGTGTGTATCGACTACTCCACCGACCGGCTCTACTGGGTGGATGCTAATCTAGACTACATCGCCTCGGCAGACCTGGACGGCTCCAACCGCAAAATACTGCAGGACAAGACGGTCAGTGACGCGCGGGAAGGGAGGTCATGAGACATGACAGGACGGTCGGAAAGGGACGCACGGGATGCCGGGGGGGGGGGGGGCAGAGAGTTAAGAGCGTTGTTCAGAGCATATCTTTTAGTTCTCGGGTCACACAATGTGATAGAAAACTCGTATGCCAGTTTGAGCTGTTAGATTATTGCGTCAGGCAAGGGCGACAGCTGTCAAAGCTCTGTCCATATTCTGAAATTAACACGCGCACTGCAGCGGGTCTGAGCCGAACACGAACTGCAGGGGGGGGGATTGAAAACAACCCCCCCTGAGATCTCAAAAACGGCGCAACGTAGCGACAAGCGGTAAACGGCGTTGGATAGGTTAAGATGAGATCGACAAGAAATACTAAGATCATTTTTGGGTCAGGTCAAAAACGAGGTCACCAGAGGTCACCGAAGACAAAATGTTACGATTTTCACAACAGGAATTTCGCGGTAGTTTTTCTTGAATAACTTGTCTTGCACACAAGACAGAGGATCGATTCGAACGCCATCGTTCTTAGCTCGTCAAGGCGCATCGAATGATATACATATAATATGATATGTATAATATGACCTCGAAAGGTCAAGTTGAAAATTTGACCTCAGGTCAAGGTCATGACCTGACCGAAATAGGTCATGTTGCATATCATTCGATCCGCATTGACGAGAAAAACACGATAAACGTCGAACGGAGTCTCTATCTCTACTCAATCTCAAGTTATTGAAGAAAAACCGCTGGTGACCTCAGGTGACCTAAGATGACCTGGAGATCACCTTCCAAAGGTCATAAGTGATATGTTTCGGTGAAATCACCAACAAGGACCTGTAATACTATGATCCTGAGCGTATTGAAGTCATAGGATGGCATTCAGAGTAAGTTGAAATTTTTCCCATTGACTTATAATGGGCCGGTCGCAAAAATGACCTGACCTTAGGTCATCGATATAAAAATTCCGAGATATACAAGTTGTAGCTCGTGATGACTTTACTATTTCCTGTGGGTTTCAAGATCATATCTCAACAACTGTGGGCTTGGTGGGATTGCAAACTTCGAAATTTACGTTTCGAGGTAGGGTCACTTGACCTGACCTGGTGACCTGACCATAGGTCACCTGGGGTCAAAATTTTTACTCAAGGTGTGCAAAAGTTGTGAGAACAGGTATGCAAAATTTGGCGGCGCTACGCGCCGCCGTTTTCTCGCAATTTGCGAAAAACCACAGGGGGGGGGGTTGAAAACAACCCCCCCCCCCTGCAGTGCGCGTGTTAAAGTATCCCACATCTATCCTGAGCCTTGCAGCCTGACCCCTCCTGCCCCGTGCTCTCTACAAGAGTTATACAGCAGCTGCTGCAGACACCCGCTTTCTGAGCACTACTGACTTCCCCCAGCATTTCCTTCTGACTCCCCTGCTCCATGATGACTCCCGCCCCCCTACTGACCCCCTGACTGAATCCTACTAACTCCCCGCTCCCTACTCCCCACGGGAGTACAGGCGGCCACCCACTCTCTAAGGTTACACACCCCGCCGTCCCCTGCCTTACACAGGAGTACAGCGGCCACCCGCAGCTCTGAGCGTTACTGACCCCCGCCTGTCCCCTGCTCCCCAAAGTGAGTATGTACAGCAGCCACCCGCTCTCTGAGCGTCATAACTGACCCCGCGGCTGTCCCGTGCTCTCCACAGGAGTACAGCGGCCACCCGTTCTCGATCGCCGTTTACAAGGATATGATGTTCTGGAACGACTGGCGCATCGAGAGTGTACTCATGTCGGACAAACTGGAGCCAAAGCGGATCGTCAAGGTGCTGGAGGGCATGCCGAACGTGGTCAGCGTCCAGGTACGGCCTCCACTGGATGGGTGGTGCGGTGAGCTGCTGTCTGAAGGACAGGCCGGATTACTGGTCTGGAAATTTGGGCAGTAAAATATTGGCTGGGCGATAAATTTCGTTCTAATATGCTATCTTCTGATATAACAATTGTTCTACTGTCAGTGAATAATTGTGCTTTTTTAGGGTAGTCTTAGACTGGTATGTTCACGAGTTGCAGCGGGAGCAGTACCTTGTCCTTGCTATGATGTCCTGTTTCACCTGCTATGCTGTGTCACGTAAAGTAAGTCTACAAAATAAGTCCTCGTCGTATGCAGGTCACCAGTGAGCAGTTAGCGCCTGAGCGCTACTCGGGCGCCACCTGCCCGCATACGGAGAGGACTTATTTTGTAGAACTAACAGCTGTGCTCTGTGCTATGTCACGCGCTTTGTGTCGGCGTACGGGTGGTTAGTCATGGTGACGTGCTGCTCTGTGTCCTCATACCACAGGAGTGGACACAAATCGCACATTTGTGCCGTCGTTATCGCAAATAACGGCCGGCCGCTGGCAATCGCAAAACGCCGCAAAAAACGGCCGGCCGCCGCAAACCGCAAAACGCTGCAAAAAACGGCGTTTTGCGGTGAAAAAACGCAAAACGTTTTTGCGGTTGCGGTTTAAAAACGCAAGGTACTGCGTGTATGTATGTGACGTCTGCCTGCCCATGTCTCCATCGGTGACATCGGTGACATCTCCCTGTTCCCCTCACCAGGTGTACGGCCAGCAGTCCCAGGAGGGTGTCAGCGGCTGTACCAACACCAGCTGCCCCTGGATCTGTACGCCGCGGCCGGCCGGCCGGCACCGCTGTCTCTGCCCGGACGGACTGAGCGGGCAGGGCGACAAGTGCCTCTGTCCCGGTGGTGGCACGCCCTTCGCCAACGGAACCTGTCCGTCAGGTGAGCGCGCCGCACGGCCGAGGATCGCGGGTCCGCGCAGCACGCTGATAGTAACCTGGCAAGGAACAGTTAAGTGTAAAATGTGTTGAAAAATCGCTCACGCATAGCGCCCTGGTATATTATTCATAAGTGTGTACGTATCTACCTAATTACTTTTGCTGAGTTTTATGGCACAGAGGCAGTGTTTTATATGCTATTTTGCCTACTCATTTGGAGAAAAAAAGAATACGGTCTCTAGAAAATTTGTATGACTTCCGCAATTTCGCTATTTTGATCGTGCATTTATGCATCCGTTTCACGTGTTGCAGTGAACCTCGTGTGTCCGGAGGGCTTCTTCACGTGCGCCACCAGCAAGTTATGTATCAACCGCGACTGGATCTGCGACGGCGATGACGATTGTGGCGACGGCTCGGACGAGGCCGGCTGCGGCACTTCCACGTGCGCGCCGCTCCAGTTCCGCTGCGACAACGGCCGGTGCATCACCGGCTCGTGGCGGTGCGACTTTGAGGACGACTGCCAGGACGGCTCGGACGAGCGCGACTGCCAGTACCCCAACTGCACGAAGGCAGAGTTCCGCTGTGACAGCGGCCGCTGCGTGCGGGCCCAGTATCGGTGTGACGGGGAGGACGACTGCCGCGACAACTCTGACGAGCAGGGCTGCGCCACGCCGGCGCCGCCGCCCTGCGAGCCGCCAAGCTTCGCCTGCCGGTCGTCCAGCCAGTGCCTGCCGCCGGCCTGGGTGTGTGACGGCACGGCAGAGTGTCCTGATGGGGAGGACGAGGACCCGACGCGCTGCGCCAACCACACCTGCCCCAGCTGGCAGTGGCAGTGCGCCAACAAGCGCTGCATTCAGAGCAAATGGCGCTGTGACAACCAGAACGACTGCGGCGACAACTCGGATGAGGAGGGCTGCGGAGACGCCACCACCACGGCGGCGCCGACCACCGAGCCGGCCGTGCCCACATTCCCCACGGTACGGCAGAGCTGGGGCAACGTTACCCACGGTATCATGCCGCTTGATCTATAACCCCATGGTATCGCACGGTACTGGATTCATGTTGACTGCTGTCTAGTTTGTGCCCTCTCTGATATGTGACTGCTCTGATCAGTGTCCTCTCTGGTCCGTGTCCTCTGTGGTCTGTGTCCCAGCTCTGACCATTTCTTTTACCGCTGTCCGCTCCCCAGGCCCCGCCGACCGGCCAGTGCGGCAGCTCCAGCGGCCACCTGCTGCGCTGCGACAACGGACGCTGCATCCCCGTCTGGTGGAAGTGCGACGGCGCCGACGATTGTGGCGACAACAGCGACGAGCGCGGCTGTGACAGCGGCACCGAGCGGCCGGCCACGGGCTCGCCGCCGCCGCCGGTCGCTCCGACCACCTGCTCGGCCAGCCACTTCCGCTGCGACTCCGGTGAGGGCGGGGGCGGGGCGGCGGGGAAGAAGGGTGGTGAGGATTTGGAAAGGGTTGTACCCCTCTGTGCGCCGTATGCAGAAAAGACCTGTGAAAGGAACTGCCCGAAATGGACTCACCGGGACCGGAATAGGGACAGGAGGTCAGGTCTTACTCGACGAAACGTTGCTGAAGTTTGGAGTAGGGGCAGCGCGCATCCCTGCGCAGCGGAGGAGCTGTCATGGTACACGATATTCGGATACCGTTATCATTTGATTCTGGCCTGCAGTTGATCGTGTTAGATAACGGCTATAGTACGGTCTTCGACGTCACCCGTCATGAACTTTGGTTGTGTGACGGACTATGACTGTGACAGGCAAGTGCATCTGGTCTGCATGGCTGTATGACGATCGGTGTGTAATGTGACGGTATGTGTGACTTTGTGACAGGCAAATGTATCTGGTCGGCGCGTCTCTGTGACGGTCGGCGTTGGTGTGTGACGATCTGCGCTGTGTGACAATAATTATGTCTATATGACAGGCAAGTGCATCTGGTCTGCGTGGCTGTGTACCGGTCAGGTGACGGTCGACGCTGTGTGACGGTCGCTATGACTTTGTGGCAGGCAAATGTATCTGGTCGGCCTGGCTCTGTGATGGCGACCGCGACTGCCCGGGCGGGGAGGACGAGGCCGACTGTGCGCACGCCGGCTGCGGCCACGACCACTACCGCTGTCTGCTCTCCGGAGAGTGTATCGGCCGAGAGAGGGTCTGCGACGGACGGCAGGACTGCGCCGACAACTCGGACGAGGAGGCCTGCCACTCGGGTAAGTACGGGTCTGTTCGAGTAAGGGGGGGGGGGCTGCTCGGTTAAGGTGGGCCACTCAGGTAGGTGTGGGGAGGGGCGGGGGGGGGGGGTGCTCGGATAAGGTGGGCCACTCAGGTAGGTGTGTGCATGTGGGGGGAGGGGGGGGGGTGCTCGGATAAGTGAAATGGGGAAGCTTCAAGCTGATCGGGTAGGATGGGACACTCTGGTAGGGTGAGCCATGTATTCACGTTGTAGTCACTAGGCAGCTTTCCTCAATACCGACCGGCGGTTTTCACTGCCGCTGCCGTGTGCACTATGTTCGCACTGTAACTGACCGCCCTCCGTCGTTGCCTTTCGACAGAGGGCGGCACCACGGTGCAGCCCTTCACCTGTCCCTCTGGGACTTCCGCTGCGACTTCCACACCTGCCTGCCCTACTACAAGTACTGCGACGGACACCGAGACTGTGTCGATGGCTATGACGAGGTCAATTGCCGAGACGACAGCACCGTCTTCCAGGTATGCGGAGCGGGGGATTAGAGGTAGGGGGCTAACCTATGGGGGCGGATTTACCAAGGCACTGACTGACCTGACTGACTGATCTTATGAGGCCGGCTGGGTGACTTGACGAACCGGCTCGCCTGACTGACGGGACTAGCTCGACTGTGCACGTGAGGGGCGCAGTCCGGGCACGGTAGAGAATCATACCATGGGGCTGGTTGAGCCAGGGTACGTGTATTTCTGTTTGTTGAAGTGGTAAGAGTGGGTAAAGGCAAGTGATGTGAGCGAGATAATTTAGCCGAGCGTTGATATTATTCAAGCATCGCCAGATGGTACTCTGGACTTTTGGTGACGCAATCCTGCTTTGCTGTGTTGTATCTCTTGCCGTGAAGTCAATTTTTCTTATGACGCCTCTCCGCTCGTTTCTCCCCTGATTTTTTTTTCTGTGTATCGCTGTGTGCGCCTCACCCCGACCTCTGCCGCCTTCAGGTGGTCAGCTACACACTGGACGAGGTGTCCAACAGCTCTCTGACAGTGCGGTGGCAGACGAACGCTCGTGGCGCCGCCGCCCTCACCAGACTCAGGTGAGACAGGCGCGTGGCTGCAGTCGTCCGGCGTCCACAGTGGGGAGGGGTGTCTGGATCTCGCTGCAGTGGGGAGACGATAACGCAGAGTGACAATAGAGTCTACGACTGAATATTGGAATAAACGTTAGTATGTTACAAGGATTTCTGAAATTGGTTGATTCGGTGACCCTGGCGCCGACATCGTATACCAATGATAACTTCTGCTCACAATTACTAGTCTGGCCGCCTTTGCCCTTGTGTCTGCGGACTCTGCAGTCTGCAGAGTCCTGCCGTCACTATGCGCCTTGCTTACCAGCTGTGACCCTCTCTGCCGTTCTTTCTCTGCAGGTTCCTGCCATCAATATGCGCCGTGTACCAGCCCGGTCAGCCATGCCACTGGCTCAACATGACCTGGGTGGCAGAGCCCGAGTTTACGTTCGAACATCTGGAGCCCTACACTTGGTACAACATCACCGTGTTTGTACGTGCTGAGGGACGGCCGGACGTGTTCCCGGCGAGTCAGTACATCAGCCAGAGGACTGCCAGTGCCAGTGAGTGGGAGGAGAGGGAGAGTGGGCGCCGGGACCCGAGATGGAGTGTGGTAGAGGTGAGCGCTGAGCGTATCATTTAATAGTTACATCGCATTGTTGGTAGGTTAGGTAGCCTTGAATGATCGGAGAAATTACGAACATTTATTAGACAATTGACATGTTCCCGGGCTGCTCTGGTCTTCGACGGTTTATACAATGTTCTGTCGAGTTCGACGATGCTTTGACCTTATTGACTTGCCGATGGGGTTTCTGGACGTCCCCGTAGAACCCTCGCCGCCACCATGGTAACTTCACCACACTCCCTCTCGCCCCGGCAGAGCCGTCACCTCCGTGGCGTGTGAACGCTACTCAGCTGGACCACCACTCGATCCGCGTCTCGTGGCGGCCGCCCAAACACCTGAACGGCCGTCTGCTCAACTACCGGCTGTCACTGACGCCGCCGCAGCCGCCGCAGATGTTCATCACGCGCCACACCAACTTCACCGTGGTGCTCGACTTCCAGCCGGGCGTCGAGTACTCCTTCTTTGTGAGTGGGATAGACTTTCCAGACTGTTGTCGAGTACTCCTTCTTTGTGAGTGCGATAGGATTTCAACGAGGCAATAAGTACTCCTTTGTGAGTGCCTTGAAAGACAGTGGCGGGCAGTCGACTTTCTTTGTGAGTGGGATAGATTTCCAGTACTCCTTTGTGTCAGTAGCCTCGAACGGACTGAGCCGGCTTTTCCCTGGAGGGAAGGTAAATCTGGCAGACAGGGTGGCGAGAATGTCTTACCGTGCTCCGGTGTCTCGGCAGGACTGACAACGGTGGGAATTAAAGGAAATCAGAGTTGAATCGTGCTAGACCGCCGTCTGGCTTTGACTGTCTTTATGTGACATCTCTGACCCCTCTGTCTATCTCACGGCGCTCTCCTGTAACCTTCTGACTCCTCCGTCTTTCCCCCCGTCTCACCAGGTCCAGGCGGAGAACTCTGCCATGCTGAGCGAGCGCTCCCACTCTGCGTCAGTCGTGTTCGATGCGGACGCCGTGATCGCTCCGCTGAGCGAGTTCCGCGCGGTGCCGGCTGCGGACGGACATGGCCTGACGGTGCGCTGGCAGCCGCTGCCGTCGGCTGCGGGAGTACTGGTGACCTACCGACCGGCAGACAACCGACTGGTGCCCGCAGGAGAGGAGCGAGTCGAGGGGGATACACATCAGCTGGAGTGTGAGTAGGGGGAGCAAGCTTGGGGACGAAGGGGGCACTAGGGACAATTTGTTTCAGCTGCAGCTTGCACGGAGGGAGGTATACGGGAGGAGGGGTGGAGTGAAACAACCAATGAATGTAGTCGTCAGAGAAGGGGGAGAGGGTTAAGAATGGCAAGATGACCTGAGCGCCGCCCTAGGAGCTCGCAACACTTCACTTATGTTTTGTGTGGACTGGTTATATTGTTTCGGTTGTATGCAGCTTCAATTTGATACCTTTTTGCTTTTTCTTCTATTCAGTATTCGTCTAGCTCCATCATCCAGACTCCTCATCCTCGCCCTCTGCTGTTGTGAAGTCAGACGGTCCCGTGCCTGGGTGTCTACGCAACGACTTCCTTTGACCTACCTCCCTCCCCATCCACTGCATGACCGGTTCGCCGATAGTGACCCTCCCCTCCCCTCCCTGTGCCGACAGTGACGGGCCTGTCGCCGGGCACCCGGTACGAGATCGTGGCCCGCGGCTACCGCGGCCGCTTCACGGGCCCCGAGTACGTGACAGTGGCGACCACGGGCGGCCGCCAGCTGGCTGCCGTGGCCAATTTCACCGCCGAGCTGTCGCCTCATAGCGGCACACTGGTGAAGCTCAGCTGGCAGCCGCCGCCGACAGAGGGCAGTGCCGGCGCCGCCGGCGGCTCGGCCATGCCGCTTCAGTACGGCGTGTTCTGGGGCACCTCGATGGAGCAGCTGTATGAGGGCGGCGTGCGCCAGCGCACTGTGGAGACCTCCACTCAGGTGGGTTGTCAGAGGAGCGCTCCGCACGGCGCTCTGTCACGGGTGGCTATCTTCCCATGACTCCCTACCCCTCTCCGGTGCTGCAGTGGCTCGTGCTCGCGGTCCGTGGCTGTTCTGACGTAGGTGACGCACTTTGTGACTGTTGGCCCCAGGTATCTGTCTGACCTCTAACCGCTCTGACCGCGCCTGTTCCGTTTCCAGTTGACCGCTCTGACCGTGCGTATTCTGCCTTCTGGACGCCGCTCTGACGGGGCCTGTTCTGCCCCCCCCCCCTGGTTGTCCCGCGCTTACCTTGTCTGCTAGTCTTCCCAATCCCATGCTGCCCCTTTGACTGTGCCTGTTCTGCCCCCAGGCAACGGGTCTGATGGCCTGCGAGGACTACCTGCTACTGGTAGCTGTGGTCGGACCGGACGGTACCGGGCTGCCCTCAGAGATCGGCGCGTCCGTACCAAGTTTGACGCGCACGCGCCGCCCAAAAACGTCACCGTACAGACGCAGCGCGGTCTGACGCTCATGATGCGTGTCAGGTGGGAGGCCAGCTGTTCAGTGGTGGAGCGGCCCGTCGGATACAACGTGAGTGGTCGGCGGCAGGGGCAGGAGGGAGGGGAAATGTGGTGCGGGGGTATGCCAAGAGATGGGCAGCAGAGGAGGAGACAGGCCGGGGGGATGGGCGGCGGGGACTCGCCTATCTTGGTGCTGTTTTGTAGCTGTCGTCACTTTACTTGTTCGACTTGTTCAATGAATTACTTATGGTCCATTAGATTGTTTCCTTTTGGTCAGATAATGAAAGGTTGGTGTTGACATACTATTGCACGATGTATGCTCAATTTGTCTATGCTGCACAATTACTTAACTTGGCCTTACCTGACCTGACCTGACCCGTGCGACT